AGGAAGGAAGGAAGGAAGGAAGGAAGGAAGGAAGGAAGGAAGGAAGGAAGGAAGGAAGGAAGGAAGGAAGGAAGGAAGGAAGGAAGGAAGGAAAATCCCTGGCTGTCAAAAGTACACACAAGTATTTACAAAGTTTGTGTGAATCTGCACACAGTTCCCCTCACAGCGAAAGAGTTAAGAACAGAGATGTCACAATATTTATCAGTGCAGTAAAAAATATCATTTTTGGAAAAAAATATACCTTTAGTATTGCCTTTCTTAGATTAACTATGATAAGCAAAAGATTAAAAACAAAAACTTTATCTTCGAACACACATGAATAGTCTGTTATAGCAGCACTGCTAAAACTGGAAGGACCAAGCTAACCCGTAAATGAGAAACAGGAGTTTCAAACCACAAATGCCGAACACAAAGCCTCCTAGTATGCTTCCTAAGACTTCTGAAGAACCAAGCCAATCTACCACTCAAATTTCACTCTCAACACACACAAATGCTCTAAAACCATATCTTCCCACTGAAAGCATTTGACACATGCAGAGCTCAGCTCAGTTTACCTCCRGACTGGTTTTCAGACCTCCACCTGCATCAGCAACTCCTCACACGTAACCACCACCTATGGGGTCCCCAAAAGCTGTCACATTTGTCACAGAGGACAAGGACCCCTTGCACACTGCCACGCCTTCCTTCCAGGGGCCGCCCCTGCCGTGGGTCTCACTGTGTGCCTGGTGAACACGGTGGCATCACGGCAACATGCACGCAGGTAGTGGTGAGGAGGACGGACCACAGGGAAGGAGAGCGGCCTGGAAAGCCCAGCACCTCTTATCTGATGCAGTACCCTAGCAAGAAGCCTACACACAGTCACCAACAACAGGACTGGCACCATCTCCTCAAGCACCTCACTCAACATCTGCAACTCAGGGTGAAATTGTCACCGTCATCAGAGGCAGCTTTGTTGGAGTACGGCAGTGGGGGAACCTCAGCAGCAGAGAACCATCTTCTCCTCCCTATGTCTGGGGAGAAAAATGATTTGTAGGCACAGAAGTGGGCCTCAAAAAGTAAGYTGGGGATTCCAATTACTTTGGACACAGGTCCTTCTCACAGGAGCACCAGGAGGGTGATGTAGATGAGTACCCAGGACCACAGATCAACTGCTTTGAAGCTTACACAGCAAATGGGACCACAGCAGTGACAGCTGTGGCAACAGGAAGAGGGAAAACATTCCCTTCCCACATTTTTCCTGTCTGTACTGCCTACCCACTGCAGACCTTGCATATAGGTTTCTAGGATTTGGCCCACAAGTAGCACTGCAGATCTCTAATGATTGCAAAGCCACAGAAGAACACAAGTCTAAGTCCAACACCATTGCTCAGCTGTGCCTGGCCTGACCATGGCACTGTTTGGGATATCAGGAAAAAGTTTTTCACCCTGAGGGTGTTYGGGCACTGGAACAGGCTTCCCATGGAAGTGGTCACAGCACCAAGCCTGACAGAGTTCAAGAAGCATCTGGAAAATGCTCTCAGGCACATGGTGTCATTTTTGGGGTATCCTGTGCAGGGCCAGGAGCTGGACTTGATCTTGATAGGTCCCTTCCAACTCAGCATATTCTATGATTTTATGAACCCACAGAAAAAAAACAGTGTCCTAAATCCAGAGGACACACTACAGAAGCATGCAGAGCATCCAGAATTTTATCCCCACTACACAGCTCACTATTTTCACACTGCAGTGTCACCACTAAAACATTTAAGTCAATGTGAACAATAACGAGAGAAAAAAAAAGTTTTTGACATCCCCTACAGTTTAGGATAGCAGCAATATTTAGTATGAATTTCTCTGCTCAGCAAGCTAGCTACTAGAAACAATGTCAGAAACTTGAGAGAGAGAGAGAAGAAAAATAAGTGAATGGAAAAGAYGGAGTTCCATGGTGTATCCTCACTGCCTGGTGCTCATGACTTGTGTCTTCCTTTAATTTCTGGAGTAGATGGGAGTCTCTTTCTCTCTTTAAAAAAAAMCCCAAACCTAAGTATCTTTGGTTAAAGAAAAAAACACGTTTATTGCCCTTCAGATTTGCTAATGGAATTGCCTTCAAACCAAATTACAAGACACAATCCCTTGAACGTATAAAAAAAGGAAAATTGTCACAGTCAAAATTGTCCCTTTCTTGGAATGTTTTATGTATTACAACAAAAATACTAGAGAAAGAGAGAATTAGAGACCCGCCAAAGCCCAGTTTGCTGGGAACAAGCAGGTAAAACCTTCCAGGGAAGATGCAATTGCATTTGCTCTCTCAAATGACTGGATTTGATCACTCCACAGTGAGATGTGCTTCCATTTGGGAYTTCCAGACTTGTATTAGTGGTTCTCTGCCTTCCCTCCTGCTTTYTGACCTCACAGCAGAAAACTGACCRTCCACCTCYGAGGAGAGACTGTGCTSCCTTTCTACTTTCTGCACAAACAGAATGCAAGAGGACACGATGGGGMAAAGGACCGCTATTTCACTGTGCCAGCCAGAAGCCACCCATAAAACTTCCAGTGTCTAAACATTCTCCTACCCCCTCAAGTTTCCACGCCATTTACCCCATGCACACAAGGAAGACCACCTGAASCAAACCATGACAATCCCATTTCCTCTCCAAAGGACTCTGCAAGCAAAACCAGCTGGCTGTTATCATGTGTGTGGTGTGGTACTGACAGCATGCAAAGCTTTTACTCCCTCTGCTGAAATGACTGTGTTTGCCCTGTGACCAACCACACCTTCATCCAYGCAATTCCTTTATACAGGTGTGAGGGGGGAGGTGTTGCTCAGCTCTCTTATACCCAGCAGAAAGCACAGCTCTCATGCAGTGTTGCACCATCAAAGCAATTTGATGGCTGTGCTGTGCATCTCCTGCAGTCAGCATCCCATCACCATAACCGTCCGGCAGACCAGCAACCGTCCAGACCAGGATGGACAATGTGAAAGGTGGCTCCTCTGACATGCACTGCAACCCTTCTCTCTGCCAGCCTGTGCTGTTGCAACAGTTCCACTGCCAAATACCCCCCMAAAACAGATCTCAGCCCATGTGGGAGAGCAGTCCAGATGGGTTCACAGGGAAAATGCAATTAATACAAGTAAAATATTACTGTGATTGAGATTGCAACCTTCTACGCTTCACTAATCTTAGGCCAGAGGAGCACATAAACAAGTATTTAACTTGAAGTTCTTTAGCAAAGCACTCAAGTGCATGATTAAYTTTTAGCCTTTGCTGAAGTCCTGTAATTTTTCAATGAAATTTAAATTCAGTGACTGTTTCCCCCTATTCTAAAAGAGCAGGTGATGCAAATGAAACCATAAATATCTAAACTGTAGCAACCAGCTTAACAAAAGTCCACAACAAATAATTATAAAAGAAGGAAAAATCTACATCAGGAACAAAGAAAAAAAATCAAATCAAGTATCCTTGCCTGTAGACACCTAATTAGCTTTCAGTGAGAGTGGAAGAGCAGGTGAGGAACACTGCCCTRTCTGCAGCCATGCTTTACTCAGCTAATGCCATCTGTGTGTGCCAGTGTGCTTTATCCAGTGATGGGACTGAGAGCCACCCTTGTGGCTCTGCTGCAGCTCCTTCGATATCCCTGTTTCTGGGGAGCCATCTGTGTCCTCCTTTAGGAAAACCAAACCCCTAACATGCAGTGTGACCTTACGTTCTTCACAAGGGCTCAATGATCATGGCCTAGAGCACAAGTAAATCTTAATCTTGTACAAATATCCTTTCAAACCAAGTGATGGTGAGCTGGACCCTGGGGCACCAAGGTCTTTACCTGCCTTCAATCAAGCTCTCCTGACAGATCATTAGGCTAGCTGCTGTCAGGTGTTGGCCTCTGAAGGACTTTTCTGGACTTATTCTGAAATGCAGATGTGACCCAGAGGACAAGTCCTGTTCCTCAAGGCTGTAACCACTCTCACTGAGCGGCCCCGCTCTCCCAGATTAGTGGCAGAGTTTTCATCATCAGAATAATCTTGTTTCTCCTTCCTCCTGCAGCTCTCACAATCACAGTAACCCTTCCAATGCCACTGATGAAGAGAAATAAAATTAACAACAATAACAACAATAAGAGGGAAAAAAACCCCACAAAATTTAAGGAATGCGTGTGCAATTAAAACAGAGTAAAATATAATAACAATAAAATAATAATCATAATCATAACAACCATACAATAAAATAACATCATCTTTCCTTTTCATGACATAAGCAGCATGACGCTCTCGCTCCCAAACTGGTGAGAGAGGAGAGGAATGCAAGAGAGAGAGCAGGGCTTTATCTTCCCTCCTCAGACGAAAGGGGACATGTCTTTCCAAAGGAAGAGAGGGGGTAAGGTGCATAGGCTGCTGGGAGATTGTGTCCTCATCTACAGTATATTGAGCTGGAATGAAGGACAGGCAGGAGAAGAAAACTGTGCAAGGGTAGCCCAGGAACCAGAGCTGGCAACCAGGAAGGTTATTTGGTGGTTTGCCAGAAGACAACAGCCTTGAACAGCCTATGCAGAGCAGGATCCCTTCCAGGCCAGCCAAGCACTTACTACAATACAATATACTCRTGCTTGTCTTTCTGTCAGCTTTTCCAACCTGAGAGAGCCTTCTTCCTCACTGCCACTCAGGGAACCCATCCCTTGCCATCCTGCCAGCAAACCTGCTATTCTCCAGCATCTTGCAGAACACCTGACTACTTCATGCTCTAGTTATAAGGAAATGTAGAGAGGAACTGAGCAGCCCCATAGACTTCAGCTTTCGTGGCAACGTTCTACCAAACTCCTTTCTCTCCTTCCTCCTCAGAACATCCACAGGCATGATGGTACTGATGCACCAGTGCAACTGCCATTACCAGGGAAACTCCCCTCTGAACCAAACCAATGACAGGAAAGGCTCTCTTTAGAAACTGTTGGAAAACAATACGACCGTGTAGCATTCCTTGACGTGGAGGACCAACGTGCTCTCCAGTTCCAGGGTCACTCTGCCACTGCAGGCAGGTTTTTGGGGTGTAAGTGAGAAGAGAGGAGGGCAGGCACACAGTGTCACAGCTATGTTAGAGTGGGTAAGGCTCTATGTATTACAATACTCTTTTCACTTAAGAAACCTGAGATTGACTCTCTCAACCGGATTTTCTCATGCTTACTTTGGGACTCCAGCCCTTTCCTGACCCTTTCTCATCAACAGACACAGTGAGAGATGCTGGCAACAGCTAGTGTTTCCTCCYTTCAAGGACTACATTTTTGTTCCCATTTTAGACTCATGACCAGGACAACCTGATGATGAGGGTGGACACCGTCCTCCTACTCCATCGAGAACATCGGCAAACAGCAGAATGAGAATTCAGTTTCCAGGGAGGAAACCTGCTATTTCAACAGGACATAAACAGACCGGTACACAAATGAGTCCCCAGACCCTCTGGGTCCTCACAGACRACCTGGTCACTTCCAGCCCATCCAGTGCTCGACAAAACACCCAGTTATATACACTTCTGACCCCAATGAGCCTCCCCAACACCTCACCAAGTGAGCTACGATTGACGACATGGGAAAAAAACCCCAACACCACCAGCAGGAGAAAATCGGC